AGGAATGTGGCTTTACAATGAATAACCTGGAATTGATGGTATATTGACATATGCTCAAGAGGAGTTGACTTGACCAACTTTCACTCCCAAATCTTCCCTCATTTAGATACCCCCACCTTCTACATACACACTACACATGTGGATTAGACAAATAGTTAAAATCGTAATTTAAGACCAAGCGCGGGTAAACGGTGGGATTAACTATGAGTAACCTTGCACAGGTTAGTATTCAATTAAACAAAAATGATGTTATTTGTAATTTTTAGTTTATTTAACACGAAAACGGAAAATAAGTTAGAAGAAGTAAAAAGTAAGGAATGGCGCGCATGTGCGCGGAAAGTCATGATTTCAGTTTGCAAAAAGAAATATATTTAACCTTTCTCTCAAGTCTCGACATGATGCATTCCTTATTCTTTATCAAAATTTAAAATCCGATTATATATTAATATAACAATTTATTTAGAAAAGAATCTATTATTTTGAAGCTGGATAAATTGCATCTTGTATGTCAAGTTGTTGTTCTCCTCTATTGACATCTGGAACTGGAACACATTTAATAAAAGAAAAGATCTGAAGAAAATTGTTAAAAATGGTCTGAACTTGTTTAATAATAAAATCTAAACCCAATATAGAATGTTGTAATGTAAAGGTTGCACAGTAAACTGCAACAAACATGGATAAATGAAAGAAGATGGGACGAATATTAATTTTCCTTAACTCTATAGAAAGGGGAGGACGGGAGTCTAAACTTTTAAATATATAGAAAAAGTCCTTTGAGTAAAAGAATTGAGAACGGAGTACACCTGATCATAATTTATATCCCAATTTTAAAGGCAAAATTAGACCTAGCTTGGGGAGGTTTAATATTTATGTATGTAGGAAAGATTTTTCATGCAAAACATTCTTCGTTATCAATTATTCTAGAATATTTTAAAATTTAAAAGTTGTTGGTTATATTTTCGATTTTTTTAAACACAGACCTGTAATCTTCACTTTGCATAAAACAATTTTTTTTTATAAAGCATCCAATTTTTATTACTGTTTCTTACAAGTCAAAAAGTTTCAAGGTGAGAGTTCAAGAACAAATAAAAAGCTTGATGTTTAGGGTTAAATAGAATGTTTTTACAATTCATGCATTTACTCCAATCAAATGCATTTAAAATATCAACATTTTTGGTTTTAGGGACAATTATTGCTTTTAAACTTTAATGATCAGTAGAATTGTGATATTTCTTATGTTTTATTTAATGATAATTACAATAATTTATTTTCTGACTCACCTCTCAAAAAATGTCATTGAAAAAATGTTTAAGCAATTGTAAAATTTCGGACACAAAATGATATTTAGGACTGAATTTGTATGATTGTTACTAAAATATGTTTCATCATCCGTTTTCTGATAGTTTTGTACGATGTAAATTTTGTATCTGTCTGTTTATATATGCCTACTATAGTACTGCCTATAGTATCTGCTTTAAACATTTAGTTCCGTTTAAATCCTACTAACCAGTTTTATTGGAGCTATCTATACATAGGGTAGTGCACTCCCCCCTCTTTATTGCTCAGTATCCCTCCAGGGATTTATAGAGGGAATATTCTCAATTTTCCCCAGGTCCCTCTGCAGTATTTAGATAAAGGAACATGTAGAAAAAAATATTTTTAGTTAAAAAAAAGAAATAAAAAAGCATCATGAATCTTGCGTCCGATCAATTTCCCTCAATTTGGATTTTTCACACTAGAGTGTGATTTTTCAAGGCTAAAATAGTGAAGAGAAATTTGGAGGGAGTAGAAAACGGTGTAGGGAATAGATCTGGAAAAAATACCAAGGGTTTAAATCGAGAAGAGAGTCGTTCAGGAAAACAGAGCGCAGGGAGCGGATCGGGAAAAGAGCAAGGAAGTGGAGCAGGAAGAGAGAAAGGGAGTGGATCAGGAAAAGAGCGAGGGATTGGATCAGGAAAAACCGAGGGTTTGAATCTAGAAGAGATTGAGGTAATGGATCATGAAGAAAGAGCACTGGATCAGCAGATCGGGAAGAGAGCGAAGGAGTGGATCGGGAAGAGAGCGAGGGAGTGGATCAGAAGGAGAACGACGGAGTGGATCGGGAGCAAAGAAGTGAATCAGGAAGAGAGCGAGGGTGTGTATTTGGAAGAGAGCAAGAGAGTGGTTTGGGAAGAGAGCAAGAGAGTGGATCGGGAAGAGAGCAAAGGAGCGGAAGAGGAGGAGAGCGAGTGAGTGGATCGAGAAGAAAGCGAGGGAGTTTTCGGGAAGAGAGAGAGGGCCGGAGTTGATGAGGTAGAATTGAGCGAGGATGGCGGAAGGAGGAAGAAAGTAGGAGAGGGTAAACCGGTAAATGATGACAAAGAAAATGCCTTAAAAAGGAAAAGAGGTAAGATATAGTTAATTATAGTTATTTACTTCTCCCATTTAGGAAGAATTGAAACGAAATTCGAACATATGTAGAAAATGGTAACGGTAGGAGAAAATTTAGATTGATGGTCACTTCCTATTGAGATCTTTATGTGTATGATATTCCCTTTATTCTGTAAATATATCTAATTATCTGAATACATATCTCTATATGAGAATGAGATGCTAAATCGTCCATAAATAATGCCAATCATTACAGTGGTCGATAGTCATACTCAGTACTCACAAGGGTAGCAGGGGTAATATGTAGTGTATTGGTTTGGAGAGAGGGCTATATGTACAATACATAGAATAGAGTAATACTTATTTACAACTACTTTACAGGGAAAGGAATTTTACTTTACCAAGGGTTCCCAGATATAATCCAAACCCAACCTAACCCACAATATTAGATAACATGAGCAGATTTTAATTGGGTAACTAAAGTTAATGATTTTGAAAGTCCTAACAATTTTAACAAACTTTTACAACTAAGTGTATAATATGTCGTAGTGTGTCGTAGCCCCTCCCCCCCCCTGAGTTTTGTTATACCAAATACAGCAATTTAATATGCTATAAAGCAACCTGTGTATCTGAAGCAATGATGAATTATTTCCTTTTTTCATCGGTTTCTTCAAGCTTTAGAATGTATGATTTTTCAAACAATTTGGTTTAAATTTAGTGAGTATTAGGTGTTTTTCATTAAAATCGGAAATGTTAATAAATTGTTAATGCAATATAGATTATAGTTTAGTTTGGCAATCCTTCAACCACAAATGGTATTTTGACGAATTTTTATTTTGATGTACAGGGTTACCCACATAAGATGACGATCTGAAACTCTGTGATTATTAACGATCAGGAACTGAAATCTAAATTTTATCCAAAATGTGGATAATTTCTGCATTGTTTCTTAAAAACAAGAACTGCGGAATTCACTTTCGCAGAGAACCATTAATATAAATAATCAGTTAAAAAAAATATCGAAGTATAATTCAGGAAAAATGGAAACAAAGGCTTTTTTTTGGTACCGTTTTTTTGTGTAAAGAAATGTTTTATCGGGGGGGGGGGAATCCCCATTTTCCATTCCCCCCCCCCCCCGTCTCTCGGGGTCCCCACACGTTTCTCTTCCATTCATCTTGTTTAATACCCCAAGGTGTCAAAATAAGGCCTGTTATCAATCATCTGATATTCTAAATCTAGAAAATGTAAATATATTACATTACTGATTCTAAAGCGTTCTAATTTGTAATGGTTCATCCTAAATATTAAAGGGAGTGTTCGCTAAAAATAAAAGTTAGTGGTATAGCCTCAACTCAAATTGAATTTTGAAATCGATCTATTTTCATCTCTGATTCTTAAGAAATGAAAAAATCCCCTGAGATCCCCGATTTAATATATCGTAGTTGAAGTTTACTTTAGTGATACAAATATGTCAATATATCTATATCTATCTAGTTAACAACTAACTGTTTCAATAAATTGAATCTGATCCTTCACTTTTTTCAATAAAAACAATTGAATTGAAGTCACTCATAAATAGTTTCTTTTTTAAAGGATATTATGTACTTCGGAGGAAAATACTAAAAATCATATTTTGTAGTTAAGATATTTTTTTCTTCAAAATAATCTTGTTTATAATTAATAAACTAGTATTACTACTATATTTGAATTGATACTTACTCCACATATTTTTCACATTTTTGCTCAAAACTGATTTTTTTAATGTCTGTTGAGATACGCATTGAAAAAAAACAATATACATAATAGTGATACATATGCATTATAATTTTCAATACAAAGGAATTGAGTCGTTGACCAAAACTCGGATTTTTTCTGCTGTAGACCTTAGATAGTTCAAACTATAAATCTGTTAAATAAAATAATCTACATTTAAAATATTAAAGGTTTATACCAAAGATATAGGGATCGGATAATCAGAGTTTGTGGCAAAGACTCAATTCTTTTGTAAATTTATAAATCATACTTCTACATATTAAAAAATGTTGCCCATCAATGAAAATTCTAATCTGTATCTGAAATGTCTATTAAATGTCTGAATCTCAAGTTTTCACGTGTTAAGAAATGTACAGAAATCTATGAATTGTGCAGGTGCCAACAGTTCAAATTTCCTCTCGTTCTTGTTTCAAGAAAATCATTCTTTCTACATTACTATAACATGGTATTGGTGTCTTACGAAACATGACAGTTCTAGAGATCTGATCTTTGAAACGTAATTTGCGACGTTTATTTGTTAGCCTACTTGAACTTAAGAATATGATTCTATAAATATAATAATAAAATCCATTTTCAAAATTAGATCTGCCTTTATTTGTGCTTTTAAAACTACTGGACATTTAAAGAATATTGTTTTGATGTCAATTAGATAAATAAAAACAAAAAATTCTTAATATAAACGAATATCTCCGATAATTTTAAAAGCACTAAAATAGCCGACCATATTTTAGAAATCCCTAAACCATAAGTATTAGGACAAAATGCTATGCAAGATTCAAAAATGCGACATACTTTTTCTCTATGAAAATGTAATTATTCCACAATTGCGCATTCCTCAAAGTTACAACTCGCTGAGATCTATCTAGTATCTACATTTATAATTTTTTAAATACAATTAATTACAGACTAGAGACAAAATATTATAAGATATTTAACTCTAATCTAATCCAAAAAGTCGTCTTCCTCAGACTTAAGAATCCCAAGCTTGGTTGCTACATTTCGGACCTTGTTCTTCACCTCCTCCTAAAAAAACTGGCGGTAATATTAAATTCATCTAAATATTTTGAGGAAAAGAAGAGGTTTCGAAAAAATAAATTATGAAAAAAGGTATTTTTGCTTGGTGTAGAATATTTACACTGTCAGCTCAAAAAAAAACCTTCAGGTCATTCACGAACTTTGGAAATTAAATAAAACTGTTTTTTTGGTTACCCTGAAAAATCAATTATAATAAAGTTCATGTTGAATCTTGCAATTAAGGTCATCCTATGGGATAATAACCTCTTTCCATATTCCCAACCCCTTCGCTACGTGTGTTTTTCTGATTTAAAAGGAGGTTTCCTCAAGAAATAAGACATTATAATGACCACATAAAAATTCTCAAATATGGCAATTTAAGGATAATAAGGTTGCCGCTCTAAATAGGCATTCAATGATATAATTAAATGAGTTGTTAAAGAAAGAAGTTTACAGAAAAAATTTACACAAAAAATTCTGTACAGTCATCTCTAAAGTTTCATTCTTGTGAATATCCATGTATGTATATATATAGATATATATGTATATACATATATATACATATATATATATATATATATATATATATCCATGTATGTATATATGTGTAATGTATATTTAACTAACCCCCAGAAGATGAAAGGTCGTGGTAACCAAAGCCATTCCCAGCATCAAGTAGAAGGAGTTTATCACGATACTCACCTTGGACAGATTTCGTAAAATTTTTATAAATTTTTCAGAAAAAAACTAGAATTTAACAGATTTTTAAATGCAAATAAAATACAATGAGAACCATAACACTCCGGAATAGTAAGACGACTTTAGACTTAATTTATGACTTTAAATAGTTCAAAGAAAATGAGACACAGGAATTATGCAGTATAAACAGACCCATTTAACTTAATACATGACCTAATGCATTTCTTAAAAAAGCATTCCGTTTGTAACAACAGCAAAAACGTTTAAGTATTGTTTAATGTCGTCTTCCTATTCCACAGTTTTCTGGTTCTCATTGTTTTGAAACAATAGAAATTAAAGTTACTAGATCTGCGTAAGATCCAGATATCCCCAGCTCTCCTAACGTCTGGGTTAAAACTTCATTAATTGGTGAAAATAAAAGATAAATTAAATTTTTGTTTAAATATGATGTTCGTTTCTTCAATATAGTGACTCGAAGCCAAAACTTTCGCTAAAAGAAAGGGAAAGTGCGACTGTAAAAAAACGCAAACGTAAATGTTTGCTTTATAGTACAGAGTGTCCCAATAAACATGGGAATTCGATATCGTCTTTTTAAATAATTCTTTGATTCAGTATAGCGATACCTTCTGAGAAAGCTGTAATCTGTAAGAGTTTTGTCTGCTATGTTCACATTTTAATTGTTTGTTTTGACTACATACGGTTGTACTTAGTAAAACAAGAAAATTGCAGCATACAAACAGCGTAAACTTGTCCGTCTTGACTATTCATCTTGCTGAGAAATTATAGACACATCTTTACAGTCTTTTAATTTACCCTTTTCATAAAATAAACTCTGGCAGACATGAATGATATTATGGCTTTTGAAATTAGGTATAATGCTAATTCACAACAAAGACGATATCCAATTCGTCACTGAATTCCCACGTTTACTGGTACACCCTGTATATATATAATGTCTGTTTACAATTCGTTAAGGTTAAAGTATTTACAAATGATTAGTTTTCCTTGTTTGTCTCGTGACTTTTTTTTGGAACAAAATCTCCAAATCCAATTGTAGCGAGGGTGATAAAACAAAAGTACCTAAAAATACTAAGATTATTGACTACTCTAAAATCCAACTCTAGTTAAAGAAAGATTAAACCATGAGATCAAATGTCGTCTTACATGAAAAATAGATTTCTTGGAAACATAAACTTAAAGGAATTGAGTTTTTGCCGCAAACTCTGATTTTTTATTCCCAATATCTCTTTAACCCAATGTCGAAAACTTTTGATATTTCAAACTATGAATTCTGTTAGATCAAATATTCTAAGTTTGAAATATCAAACATTTAAATCTTCAGATTTGAAAGATTTTGGGATTAGAATTTTTAGTTTGTGTCAAAAACTCATTTGCTTTGGAAATCACTAAAAAGTTGTAATTCAGATATTTTCCATTTGTGAAAATCTTTTAATATTAAGTCATTCATTGGATTAATTCTTAATTGATAATCAACTTCAGCTGTACAATTTCTTTTTAGCAAAATATTTGTTTCATGGATAAGACCTAGTCTTTGTTTTTAATTTTTGAGAAATTCAAAGGGTTCAATTGGCCAAGTAGTTAATATGATTCATCGTGAATTGTGGGTACCGGTTACCCACAAAGAATGAAAAGGAAAAGACGACCTGAAACAATAAAATTATGACGATTTCAAGGTAAAATTAAGTTTTCAGCCTAAAATATAGGCTTTCCATGCTGATTTAAAGATTTAGCTGAGATTTAAACAAGTTCACAAGAGAAGGAACAGTATAAATTCCGTACAGTCATCTCTAAATTCTCATCCTTTGTGGGTAACCCTGTACGTAATAGAAATGTATTTACCAAGAGTCGAGAAACTGCCAACCCTCCCAGCCACTGAACAAGAACGCACCTAATTTGTTAATCAATTAATAATGTTCTGTCGTGTTTAAAGGGAGTGTTCGCGAAAAATGAAAGGGGGTATATTCTTAATGCGATAAAAAAGCGCTTTTGATCGCTACTAATCTTACTTCTATCTGTTGTGTCTATAAGGAGAAAATTGTTAAAGACGTCTCATACCGAATAACACAGAGGCCATACAAATTGAGAAAATTGCAACATACGACTTAGACCGTAAAAAATCAATTTAATTTCAAACAAATCATTCAGATATTACAACCTATAGTCATCGATTATCTTTCGCCACATTTGTATATAGTTTATATTATATTCCTGATTTTAAATCCTTAATCCAGAGTTTACGGCCTCAATGTTCTTTTATACCCAGAATTTGTTGTCCTAACCTGGCTCTTTTACCTCCTACCCTGGCCTCTATGCTCTCCTACCCTGGCCTCTATGCTCTCCTACCCTGACCTCTATGCTCTCCTTCTCTTCTCTGATTCAACACTTACCGTAGAAAAGTAATTTGAAACTTTGTTTTCGGAACATGATATTAGAAAGAATAAATTGGAACTTTTATTTTCGTAACAGGATGAAATTAAAAATTGAAATTTCAGAAGAAAAAAGTTAGACTTTTATTTTTAAATGATTGTATGAGTAGTAAGACTTGTAAATTAAATTTCAGATTAGAAATTAAACTTCTTCAATCGTGATTTATTGTGAGATAGTGAGATTTTTTTAATTCAATAATGCCCCAGCCCGCCCAAAACGAAAAAGAAAAGTAAGCAGCTTCAGGATCGAGGGTTGGGCAACGAGTTTTTAAAAATGAACGGAAATTTCCACGAGTCGAAAAAAATGTTAATTTTAAAATCGTGAAAGAACAAAATAAACCGTTCATGAAAAAACTATAAAGAGAAAATTTAGAAACCCAGTGAATATCATTAATATCATTAATATATAAAAACATACAGCATAAACTCCGTGCAGTCGTCTCTGAAGTCTAATTCTTTATGGATAATCCTGTCTGTCCAAGTGTTATATATATCCTACCCATGCATATATATGAGAAGACAAGAAAGAAGCAGATCCATATTGGTATTGGTTTAGTTACATCCACCTCCTCCCAGTCCTCGTATTCAAACTCGTGAAAGAATTCACCTCCTTAAAGGGAGTGTTCGTGAAAAACGAGAGGGGGTAAAGGCTAACGTCGAATCGAATTCGATGGTGATCGCTACTATATAATCTTACTTCTCTACATTGCGCCTATAAGAAGAAAATGGTTAAACACGACTCATACCGAAGAACGTAGCGTCCATACAAATTCACAAAAGTTGCATTATTCCACTTAGATTGTAAACAGTTCAATTAAATTTGAATCAGATACAATTATCGAATTCAATTGGATGCATTCATAAATAGTTATTATTTAATAATATACATTATTAGTTTCTTGTACAGTATACTTTAAATGACGATTATTTGCCCGCTAGGTGTCTTGGCTCTCGTTGCTTCCTAGGTGTCTTCCATGTGGGAGACGCCTAGCGACGCCTAGCAACAAAAAACATCGTTTAAAGTACAATCGTGTATAAAACAAATAAAAAATATCATATAATATCAACTATATATAAATGCATCGAATTAAATTCGACTATAATGTTATAATAACTGAATGGTTAGTTTTAAATTAAATTGATTTATTTTTAATCTAAGTGAAATATTGCAACTACGTGAATTTGTTTTCGGTATGTTTAACCATTTTCTCCTTATAGACGAAACAAATATGAGTATAAGAATAGTAGCGATCAACGTAGCCTACACCCCCTTTCATTTTTCGCGAACACTCCCTTTAAACATGATCAAAATAATTTCTTACGGATAATCTCAGGCAAATTAAACTACTTCAGCGCACTGCTTATATGTGTGTTTAAGAAAACTTCACGACCCTGTCACAAACATTGATTGAGCATTTTTAGAAAAAAAGGGTTTACCCATATTTAGTGCCGGGATTCCTTATTTTCCCTTATTTAAACATTCAAGGTTTCAAGGTTTTTAAGAGACTTAACAAAATTTTGAAAAGTTTAACATATTTTAGAATTTTATTCTAGCTCTAAAAGTTATCTATGCAAAATCTTAACACTGGCAGAAGATGTAAGCCAAAACTAATTTTCAAATCTTTGCTCAACCAACGGTTAATTTTACTTCGTTTAGACTTATAACTTCGGTCAGAGTCCAAATCTTGCATTTTTTGAAAAAGGCAGATTTTTTTGAATTTGATAAGGTTTCGTGAATTTTTTTGTGGCTTTCTTAAAGACAATCATCCTGGAAAAACAAAAAGTTGAGGATGAGGCCGGATGAGGATGAGTTGAGGATGAGGTTGAGGATGATGATGAGGTTGAGGATGATGATGTGGGTAAGGATGGGGTTGAGAATAATGAGGTTGATGCTGATGATGAGGATGAGGATGAGGATATAAATGAGGATGTGGTTGAGGATGATGATGAGGTTGAGGAGGAAGAGTTTGATAATGCCAATGAGGTTGAGATTGAGGATCGGGTTGAGGATGATGAGGTAGAGGATGATGTTGAGGGTGAGGATGTGGTTGAGGTTGAGGATGATGAGATTGAGGATGAGGATAAGGATGTGGTTGAGGATGAGGTAGAGGAAAAGGGTGAGATTGAGGATAAGGATTAGGTTTATGATAAGGATGAGGTTGAGGATAGGGATGAGGTTGATGATTAGGTTGAAGATGAGGATGAGGTTGAGGTTGATGATGAGGATGAGTATGAGGATGAGGTTGAGGATGAGGGTGAGGTTGACGATAAGGAAGAGGTTGAGGATGAGGTTGAGGATGAGGTTGAGGATAAGGATGAGGATGAGGTTGAGGATAAGGATGAGGTTGAGGATAAGGATAAGGATGAGGATGAGGATAAGGTTGAAGACATGGATGAGGTTGAGGATGAGGTTGAGGATGAGGTTGAGGATGAGGATGAGGTTGAGGATGAGGGTGAGGTCGACGATAAGATGAGGTTGAGGATAAGGATGAGGATGAGGATAAGGATGAGGTTGAGGATAAGGATAAGGATGAGGATGAGGATAAGGTTGAAGACAAGGATGAGGTTGAGGATGAGGTTGAGGATGAGGTTGAGGATGAGGATGAGGTTGAGGATGAGGTTGAGGATGAGGTTGAGGATGTGGGTGAGGATGATGATGTGGGTGAGGATGATGATGAGGTACCTGTGAGACGTGCTGTTCTACTCGGAGTAGTTACAACACTACCTGCTCCTCGAGCTGGAGTAGAGACCTAGATTCAAATATTAATTCAAGTAGATGGAGTTCGAGTAGAGACCTAGATTCAAATATTAATTCAAGTAGATGGAGCTGGAGTAGAGACCTAGATTCAAATATTAATTCAAGTAGATGGAGCTTTCGAGTAGAGACCTAGATTCAAATATTAATTCAAGTAGATGGAGCTGGAGTAGAGACCTAGATTCAAATATTAATTCAAGTAGATGGAGCTCGAGTAGAGACCTAGATTCAAATATTAATTCAAGTAGATGGAGCTGGAGCTGGAACTGGAGTAGAGACCTAGATTCGAATATTGATATATTCAAGGAGATGGAGCTAGAGTTTGAGCTGGAGTAGAGACCTAGATTCAAATATTGATATATTCAAATAGATACCTAGATTCAGATATTAATTCAAGTAGATGGAGCTGGAGCTAGAATAGAGACCTAGATTTAAATATTGATGTATTCAAATAGATACCTAGATTCAAATATTAGTTAAAGTAGATGGAGCTGGAGCTGGAGCTCGAGTAGAGACCTAGATTCAAATATTGATATATTCAAGTAGATACTTAGGTTCAAATTCGGTTTTTTTAAAAACCAGACCAGTAAGTACACGTGCTCCTGTATACTGCATGTATCCTACATCATACAATAAAAAAAAACATTAATATTTTTTTTTAATTCTGAGAAAAATTGTTTTCAAAATTATGAATTATGGAATGAATTATGAATTATGGAAAGGAATTTAATACTTGCTTCAAACTCAAATTTTTAATACCCATATCTTTGCACCCTGACAGATAAACCTTTGATATTTAAAGCTTAGATCATTTGAATTTTATTGTTTGAAATATCTAAGGTCTACGAGATTCGGTTGCAAAGATATGGGGATTGGAAAATTAGAGCTTGCGGCAAAGAATAAATTAACAGTTTTTCTTAATTTTGTTTTCCTAATTCCTTTAATTATTTATTTTATATTTCTTGCCTTAGATAAATCGTAACTGCTGCTGCTGGACTCATCTAATTGATTATCTGAACATTGATACTATTGTATACAACAGGAAATATTATTTCATAAACATTGATACTATTGTATTCAATAGCAAATATTATTTCATGAACATTGATACTATTGTATACAACAGGAAATATTATTTCATGAGCATTGATACTATTGTATACAACAGGAAATATTATTTTTCTAAAGATTTAAAAAGAGTGCTCCAAACATGAATCACAGTAAATTCATGAACATTGATACTTTTGTACCAATCGATTCAAACTCTTATTTCTGACAGATGTTTCTGCAAAGAAAATTTGATAAGAACACCCTTTACATGTAGTATTTTTTTACATTATTTTTTACAATCTTTTATTTTTGAATGAATTTTATTAAATGACACTTATTTTAAGACAAATTAAATTTATTTACGCCCAAATTAAATCTGTGTTCAAAAACTATTGAATATTATCTAATCTCATAAACATATTGATAACAAAAGTTATTAAAACTGTAAAGAAAGAAATGTTACTTACTCAATGGAAGAGTTAGAGATTTAGAGCTATGATTACTTTTCCTACTCGACCGTATATCGCTTTCTGTACCCAAATTCTAGAATTTTTAAATAAGATTAAATATTTCAATAATTCAGGGGGATCAATTCCCCCCACCCCCCATAATGGAGTATTATGGGGGGGGCGGGTTGGGGGGATCAGCAATATTTAGTTTACACCATAAACCTCTTATTAGAGTCATATAATATTAGGTTCGGTCGCTTGAATAATTTTTTTTTTAAAGAAGTCTAATCTATTACTTTGGCGCATCTTTTAATAATGGTTGTTAGAATTTATTAAGATATCTAGATTATCTTGAATCCGAAGTAATTTTGTGTTTAGAAGAGCGCAAAAATGTATTTACTCTTATAGTTAAAGGCGTCTTTCTTTCCAACCATCAATATTAATTTGAGACATTGATACAGTTTGATGTGGTTTTCCATTCAAAATACATTGATATAACTCTGCAAGTGTGATAACTTTTCTTTCAAAGTCTAAAATTTTGTAGAAAAGATTGAATTGTTAGATAGATGCTGAAGGAATGTGGCAAATACATTCCGTACTGACGCCTCTGAAGGAAGTCCTGTAGTTCTAAAATCGAGTTTTAAAGTTTTACATTATATGTAAACAACTCGTGTATTAAAAACAATTTTCTATGAATTGCATGTGCTTTTTTAATGATTGTTAACAAAAAATTATATTTCAAAAACTGCATTTAATCATTATTTTTAGGACAAAAAACATGCGTGTAACCTGGGGTTTAAACACTTCATCTGCATTCAACTGAGTATTCTGAACATCAGTTCCTGTCGGAGCTAGATCAGAACTATCCTTGCACATTTCTTCACAAACTTTCAGAGAATCTCTAAACACAATTAAGTCTTTGCCACAAGCTTAAATTTTCTAATGCCTATATTTTTGCAATTTTATGTAGGTTGCCAGGAAGAGACCCCCATCGATTTAATTTGCCACAAGCTTAAATTTTCTAATGCCTATATTTTGTAATTTTATGTAGGTTGCCAGGAAGAGACCCCCATCGATTTAATTAAAGAAAAATCTACATTTAATTAGTATCTATTTGTGAGCAATATTCACTCTAACTCAGTGTCTGTAGGTTTAGCTGTACATTTAGTATGAAATCATATAGTGAAAGGATGAAAATGACTTTTTTCTGCAGAACTTTTTTCGTGATAGAAATAAGAACTTTTTTCTGAATACTTTTATAATTATTACTTTATAATGTAACTGCGTTTCATGTATTACAAAAGAAGTCCCTTTACTCGATTTGCACTTACCAAGGGAAGACATTTTAGGAATAAACCACTCTTTTAATGTAATTATGTAATTATGCAATACTTTATGTTTAATTTCATATTTAAACTCTTTTAATATTAAGGAAAATAAAAATGTTTTTTCCAGCAACATACAGAGAGAACCAGAAAACTGCGGAAAAGGAAGATGACGATTAGACTAAAGTTATGACTTTAAATAGTCCAATAACATTAAGGACAGCCTTTGTGCATTGTCAACAGACTCATTTCACTGAAAAATTGATTTTATAAGTCACTCGTAAAACTATTTGCACTGTAACTTTGTAATTATTGTTTTAATGTCATCTTCGTAATTTCACATTTTATCAATGTTTTTTTTGGCTGACCTTGCGTTCCAAACATTATCCTCTCCATTATCAGCTGTATCCAGAGCATCATAGTTAGACACCGTGAAGCTGATTATATCTTCAGCTGTTATGCTTCCAACCCTTGATAACAAAAATATATCTTCAGCTGTTATGCTTCCAACCCTTGATAACAAAAATATATCTTCAGGTGTTATTTTTTCAACCCTTGATAACAAAACTTTATCTTACTGTGTTAATTTAGAGAGTCTAATTTCTTTTGTAAAATTTCACATGCAAGAACGTATGATCCGCAGAAGAAACGTTTTTTTTTACAATTATTTATTAACCCCCCGCGGAAACTTTTAATGCAAATTATTTATATATTGGTTAATGTTTTCTAAAGACAAAGTATTTACTTGTGATAGTTTATGTTCTGACTCATCTATCTTTTTCAAACAACAAAGTTGACAGTAATTTAAATCGTTATTATCAACTTTTCATTTTTATGATCTGGCTCTCTTGAAGATAATTACCTTCTGGATAGTCTGGGGGATCTTCCCCCCAGACTAATATTGTCTCTGAACTTGAGTGAATGCCTGGGACCAGTTCTAGATCCTGTTGGAGTTCTGATACTTGTCCTGCACTTTCTTTTAACCTCAACATATGCAAAACTACAGTGATAATCTTGATTAATGGAATTTCTTAACAAATAAAAAAAGACACAAAACTCATCTTTGACCTTTGAAATACGTATAAGGCAGCCTAATTTTAACAATATTTTTTATGCAAAAAAATATCACAAAAAAACTTAGTTTTTAATTAACCAAAATGCAGACTACCATTTTTGTGTTTAAAGTTACCAGAGATATAAAGAATTTTCTTTAGATTTCTATTTATCAAATTAAGCAAAAATTTTCTAATTTTGGAAGAAATCATCCATATATTTTAATGCACAAAATAAAAGCACAAAAGTTGCAGACCACATTTGGAAATGAAAAAATTCCTTAAATTAGGTTTGCCAGATGAATGAATGCAATTTCTTTTTTTTGTGAATATTGATAATTTTCATTTTTCAATTATAATAATTAGGCAAAAATCAATCTTTAAAGTTTGGCAGTTTAAAAAAATGTTTATCCAACAAAATTTATATAAATTCAAAGTTCTTTTTTTTCATTGGTTGGGTATGTTTTACTAAGTACATCACACAGGTTTCATATATGTAAAACAGGCAATATAAATTTTGGACAAATTTCAGATAAAATATTACCTTTTTTCTTGTAGTGCAAAGAGCACAACAGACCCTCCAGTAAAGGAATCTGGAGATATCATTGTTATTTTTCAGTTTCATGGTTTGCTGGAGCTGTACAATGTACATGTACACAATGTACAGAAATTAACAGAAATAGATGTACGAAACTTTAGAAAGAAAACTCAAGACATCTGTAAGGAATCTTCAGTCTGTGTGATCTTTATGAAGCTAAGGAGGTGGTTGCAATTTGATATTTTCTTCCACTAATTACTTTCCTAGAGGGTTTTTATACTTAATCAGCAGGTTTAGTACACAAATATTTTCGAGTGGCAAAGAAACAATTTTCAATTAACTCACTACAATATACAAAAATATTTGGATTTCTATGATTAAAGAATTTCCCCTTGAAAACGCTTATATCTCAATAATAAGAATAACTTTTTAATAAACTGTCCTCCATACAACATAGCTCGTAAATCAATAAATCATATTCTATTCAGAAAACCAAGGAAGTACATTGACAGGATTTTGTTGCTCAGTGGATTTTGAACACAAATAAAGAGGAAGTTGAAAACTTTTTTCCAAAGTAATTCATCAAAACTATATCTATGTTTTTATCGAAAAGAAATTCTGCATTGCGATGTCCAGTTTCAGTACATTTGTAAGCACTTTGTTAAAAGTAAAATTAAATGTGAGATATTAGTGAATGAAGATAACAATTACATAATGTGTACAGGTCAAAGAACAACCACCTCCTTTAAATCCGAAGATCATATTCACACCTTTTTTTGGATGGTTTAAGCTATTTATTTTTTGTAATACAAGTGTAACTTTGATTATTCTTTGCAATGCAAGGGGGGGGGGGGACCATGTGAGTGTAAAGGACAGAATTAATTGCATCCTTTTCAACATTTTTATGATCACACCTTGTTTATTTTTAATATAAAATACCTGAACATATTGGCCATGCTATCTCCAATATTAAAGAGACAAAGCATGAACAGTGGTATCCCAAGAATAGAGTAGAATATCGTAGCTATCTAAACATATACTGTACAGTAGTATTATATATAATTAAATATATAGAAAATAATATTTTAGCAATATAAAGTTATGCGTAAAAAATAGTAACTACACATATTTATTGTATATATCGTTACATACAGAGCGTCCCAAATTTAACGCCAAAATACACACATAATACTCGAAAAACCTTGTTTTTCTGAATGGAAATTTTAATATTAGGCTTATACAACTTTTTAAAATTAGTCATTCTTTTTTAAAATGTCTTATTAGTCCCGAAAATCGTAAGTTAGAGCTATAAACGATCTGAAATGATGTGGGACACCCTGTACAAAGCAAAATATTGCAGTTGTCTATTCAAATCATTTGGGAAAACATAGACAATAATAATATAACGTAATTATATTGTATTATGGAAGTTGAATTTCTACCTTCCCCCACTGCGTTTTAGGTGTTTGGTCTCCATATCCAATTGTTGAGATTATTATTATTGAGTAGAATAAGGAACCAGCTGGTGATTTCGTTCAATTATAAGTTATTGTTAATGATCATTTTGTAAAAGGGAAGTAATAGAAACAACTTCCTTGCAGAAAAAATTAAAGAAAATGTAAGAAGACTGAAATTAACTGTTATCCAATCATTTGCTATCAAACTCGTTACTCATTTGCTATCAACCTCGTTACTCATTTGCTATCAAAATCGATACTCATTTGCTATCAACCTCGTTACTCATTTGCTATCAACCTCGTTACTCATATGCTATCAAAATCGATACTCATTTGCTATCAAACTCGTTACTCATTTGTTATCAATTTATTTGGGATCAGGTCTCAACTGCTATTAACACATTTGCTATCGAGGCTAACTTGCTGTCAGGCCAATTAGCTAATATATGTAATCCTCAGTTGCATTCGAAGTTTTTGCTATCTTTCATCATTATTCATGAGCTATAATATTTTTTTATTGTCCTCAATTCTCATTTTTTCCTTTTTTTATTAAAACTCTACACAAAAAACTAAAATAATTACTTTCACTACAACTAAAGACAAGGATAGCTATAAATAACACCACAAATGTCACCTATACAGGTCAGTATACAAAGCAGTGTTTTTTTTTGTTGTTTTTAAGAATCAGAAGAATCAACTATGATTCTTAAAGTTGGAAATAAACACTCCTCCTATGGGTCAGATATCACTGACCAGCGCGTAAGAGAAATAGAAACTAATTAAAAAAGCAACTAGTTCTCATAACAACAAATAATTTGTGTCGATAGCAACTAGTTCTCATAACAACAAATAACTGGTGTCGATAGCAACTAGTTCTCATAACAACAAATAACTTGTGTCGATAGCGACTAGTTTTCATAACAACAAATAACTGGTGTCGATAGCGACTGTTTGACAAATTAATTTTGATAGTAACTGCAGATTAAAAAAAAACAACTAATTTCGATAGCAACCAAAAACAGGTTTTGAAAGCAGCTAATCTAGAAAGCAACTAATTTTGATAGCAACTAGTTTTTCTTAGCAATTGAACATTGATAGCAATTTAATTTAGAAAGCAAACATTCAGATAGCTAGTAAGGCAAAATAAAAAAGATCACCTGATAGCAAGTGGGAGGCTTTATGGCAAGTGTGTTAAGGAATATATGTCAGGCCTTAAGCACACCAGGCCAAATTATATAGACAGCATTGAATTGAAAGCAAATGAGGCGATAGCAAATAAGACTCATAGTAACTGATTTTCATCGCTGCTGAGTCTATAACAAGTACGTTGATTGCAAATTATTATCCAAACTATGAAATTTAGTGTAATCCATTACTTTACAAGGTTTTATTGATGTACTTTATTGACTTAAAATGTACTTTACAAGGTTTTATTAATGTACTTTATGGACTTAAAATGTACTTTCCAAGGTTTTATTGATGTACTTTATGGACTTAAAATGTACTTTCCAAGTTTATTAATGTACTTTATGGACTTAAAATGTACTTTCCAAGGTTTTATTGATGTACTTTATGGACTTAAAATGTACTTTCCAAGGTTTTATTGATGTACTTTATGGACTTAAAATGTACTTTCCAAGTGTCCATTTTCGTTTGTTCATATCTTCACTTCCATCCCACCCTCTAATCTAGAAATACAAAAGTTTTGATCTCTTGATCATTTCCATTCTAAAAACACAGTTTGGATTCATCGTATTTTAACATGATTTAATTTTTGGATGAAATACACAATTTCAACATTTAATTTATGTTGAATTTCTTAAAATAGATTTAGGGTTTAGTTTTCAACAAAAAGCTATTTTTTAAAATTTATAAAATGATCGGTGATGTATCCAAAATTTTCATAAAGTAATTCAAATAATGGTTTGATTAGATATACTGAAACTAGGCTTTTAGTGTACTTCGCGACCATCCTCTATTTCAATTGTGGAACTTATAAAAAAAAAGTTCGTGGATTTCCAAAATTTTCCAAAATTGAATTTTGTTTGAGACAAATTTTTAAAAATTTGATCAACTATGAAACATCTCTGGGTCACGCGAGGTCCCACAAAATTTGGGCCCGATCGGTTCACCCGTTTTGACGTGTATTGGAAGCAAAGTATATAGATAGATAGATAGATGTGCACTTTCTTCAGTTCTTTACAGCATTTCTACAAATTTAATTTGATTTCAATAAATAAACCGTTTTCATTAAAACTTTCCAATTATCTGGGTTCTTGGAAAATTTCCCGAATTCTTGGAAAAGGAATTGAGTCTTTCCCAATGTCATAGACCTTAGATATTTCAAGCTATGAATTCTGTTGAATCAAATTATTAAAGTTTCAAACAACAAAGGCTGCAAAGATTTTAGAATTAGAAAATTTGAGTTTGTGGCAAAGACTCAATTCCGAAATGCAAATGTTGTCAATTTAATAATGGCTGTCACTTCCTCGGGGAAAAAAAATATAACCAAGCAAGATAAAAAAACGGGGGAAATAAGAATGCAAAATAAAAATTGAAAAAAAACGAATTAGGAGTTAAGAATAATGAAGGAAGAAGAAGAAGAAAGAAAGAATGAGACATTCAAAATACAAAGAGAAAGAAAATGGAGAAAAGTATTTTCGGTATTATTGCCTCGCTGCATTTATCTCCTTAATGAAATCTACTGTAATAGATTGTTAGAGTATTAAGATCAAACCTTCATAGCAGTTAAAAGTTCTTTCTCAAATCCTGTCATCATAGCAGTTACATTGTGTATCCAGACCTCCTAAATACTAATTTATTACATTGTGTATCCAGACCTCCTAAATACTAATATATTACATTGTGTATCCAGACCTCCTAAATACTAATCTATTATACATTGTGTATACAGAGTACAGACCTCCTAAATACTAATATATTACATTGTGTATACAGACCTCCTAAATACAAATATATTACATTGTGGATACAGACCTCCTAAGTACTAATCTTTTACATTGTGTATACAGACCTCCTGAATACTAATCTATTACATTGTGTATCCAGACCTCCTAAGTTTTAATATATTACAATAATACAAGTACATCCTATGTTGGTAACCCTGTTCCACAGTTTTTATATGATTATACTCCTGAACACTGAGTTTATTCAGCTGTTATAATTTGTTTTTCAAAATTTATAAATTTTGAAAAACTATTTTATTCATAATGATTTACCTTATGAAGAAGAAGGGAATTGTTTGTAAGTTTCCAAATATTGTTTCCCAGCTTAATCCTTGTTCTTGTCATATTTTGTTTTACCTGAAATTAAAACATATTTTCATACAAGAATCAGAGAAGAAATTTTCATAGAAAAATCAGAAAACTCTGGAATAGGAAAACGATTTTCAATTTAATGCAGCGATTCGGCAGTTTGAGCAGGCCTATTTCACCTTAATGAGTGATTTTAAAGTTAAGATTATTTTCTTAATGTAACACGGATCTATATTTCTGCTGGTAAATTGATAAGCATCTTATAAATGAATTCGACGGTTTTTTAGGTAGTTACTAGCTTTAGCTTTATCTAGAACACTTTAAATATACCTCTAGTTCATAATCTCTTTCAAGCTGTTCAAAAAGGATTGCTCCAAGAGTACAGTAACCTATATGCAACCATTATAACAAAAATTAATAAGGTAGTTGAATCTTTGCCCAAAACTCAAATTTCCTAATCCCAATATCTTTTCAACCTGATGGTGTAATCCTTTAATATTTCAAACTTAGTTTATTTAATGCAACATAATTCATAGTTCAAGATATCAAAGGTAGAACAAATTGAATTGCAAAGAAATAAGGATTAGAAAATCAGAGTTTGAGGCAAAGACTTATTTAAATAGAGTAAAAATTAATTATACATTTTGTGTAAAATTTAAGCATCAAGTTTTTCTACAAAGTTTAAAATTAGAGGGTCGTATGCTCTTCAATCTAGCACCTGCAATTAAAGAAAATCTAGCACCTGCAATTAAAGAAAATCTAGCACCTGCAATTAAAGAAAATCTAGCACATGCAATAAAAGAAAATCTAGCACCAGCAATTAAAGAAAATCTAGCACCTGCAATTAAAGAAAATCTAGAACCAAAGGAAATGAGTCTTTGCTACAAGCTCAAACTTTCTAATATCTATATCTTTGCAACCTGATGGTATAAACTTTTGAATATTTCAAACACTTACTTACTCACACTTACTTACTCTATAGAAGTGAGTAAATATATTTTATGAAAATATTTAACCTAAGTCTACTATCTAGTATTAAGATAATTAACGAATAAACATTTTTAAATATCTAATGCATATATTGACAAGAAAACTATATTTTTTTTTACCTGCGACCAAGCTGACGAGTCCAATATGTGAGATAAGGAAGGTTATACCTCTCCTGTAAATATAATCCTTTAATAGTGTTTAAGGGGATATATGTGTTCAAAGCAAATATCAGGCTAATCTACATGTCTATATAGATCACAGAGGTAATTGAACAGACATTGAGCATGAAGGTGAACACTTAACATTTAAAAATTAAAATATTGTACCTTGTATTTATTAAGCATCTATTGAGTCTACTTATCTCCAGATCTTCACCAATAGTTCCTGAAACATTAAGAATCCATCAAACATGGAGGAAAGTAAACATGTATGGTTTTAGTATTTAGCACACGAAAGAGGTGCATGTAATCAGTAAAAAATTCAAATAAATTACATTTTCTTTTCACGCCCACAGGAAATTTTCTATTATAGAAAAAAAACACTATTACTTTTAAAATAATGTTAAAGCTTAAAATTGATTTTATAAAAAAAATGTTCGCTGGAGTTACCTCAAAAAAGGAATTGAGTTTTTGACACAAACTAACATTTTTAATTCATATATCTTTGCATTATGAGAATACATCTTTGGATTGCAGAAATGAAAGTTTTATGACAAAGAAGCAATTAATTCGATTCTACCTTAAAATGGTACGGGCTCCCTTTAGACAGAAGATAAATTAGTAAGCGAGAAATGAATTTTGCGGCATCATTTGTGGTATGAAAGAAAACGCCTTCCCTCCCTCCATACCTGTTCCAGTTCCCGTTCCCTCGGACCGCGCGTCTGAATAATGAAAAAAAATTTTAAAAAAAGGAAAGATTTGATGAGTAGTAAGAAGTTATTGAAAAGTTTTACTATTTTAACCATTTAACTCTCCAGTGCACCTTTTGCTACACTAGAGAAGAAAAACCTCAGTGTGATATGAAAAATGCTGAATTACGGAATCCGACCCCAAAATGACAAATGTTTGGCTTTTCGAGAACTTTCTGGGTATTCTTAAGTGCATGCTCTGCCTAGAGAAAATATTGAATGATTTAAAAACACGTTATAAACCCTGTAGAGATGTTTACTGGCTTCTATCCAACGTCAATTTCTGTTCAAATTAAATATGCAAACTTATAAATAGGTACATTTTAAATCATTGTAAAATAAATAAAAATATGCATTTGTGTGGTTTTTTATTAACGCCCTTGATATGTTTTCTGCAGTAGAAATGCGCAAGTCACTTTTGTAAAGATACCACAATTGAAAATAATCAAACATCATGATATCCAATTAATACTTGATCAGACAAAACTTTTAAGGATAACTTTAAAGATCGGGCCTGGCCATCTTCACATGGAGGTTCACTTGAAATTACGCTTACAGTCCTTTTAAGGCTACTTTTATAATTTAATAAATCCTGTTTGATACATGTATATCACTATAGTACCAGTGCTATGGCTCCCTCCTTGACCAGGTTCTGCATAAAGTACTAAACGGGAAGACATTTTTTTTACGACCTAGAAAATAGACTATACGGGTATAGTCATTGAAGGAGAGTTATCAGTCGGGGCAGAGATTGGAGTGCGTTAACTAGCTATATTCTGAGCTCAAGGGATGTATACAAGGGGGTGGGGGCGAGATCAGCTTTTGGTCGACAGCTCAGTTCCATCCCAAAGAGCATTCATTTTAAGCAGGCTGAACATGTATATACAGGGAGTCCCAATAAACATGGGAATTCAGTGATGATTTTTATATCGTCTTCAATCCATGCAGAATTTTTTCATGAACACAATAAATGTAGTATTCCAGCTCAAGCATCTAATATCGAAAACGCCTGGTCTTGAGATTTTCAAACTGTGGTCGACCATTTTTGGATCTTCATAATTCATGGAGATATTGCAAATTAGTCTAAATTTCAAATTATTGAATAAATCAAAATTGTCTTAATATCTAATATTTTCGTCAATTTTTAAGATACAAGAGGATATATATATTAACCATCGTCAGACATACAGCCTCGTTTTTTTTTACTTTCTTTGCCATGCATTTAATATCATAAATCAAAGACGACATTCAAATTCTCTCTCAATTCCCATGTTTATTGGGACACCCTGTAGTTCTAACATCCTAGAGACATTGTGATATTAATTTAGTTATGTTCCGGTAAGAATTAAGCCTCGGGAAGAAAAAAATATTTTGGTTTTTAAACACCCTTTAAGGACTACTTAGGAGTTCATAGACAATACAGAAAAAACAGGGTTTTAAAGGGGAGGGGGCATTTAAACTTCGCGTGCACCCCTAGTTTGTTCATCCATAGTAAATTTCTATATGTGCCCACATGAGAGTGACTTATTGATATTAAGTTTTGCCATTAAATTAGTTAAATTCTACTGATCCCTTTTACACCATTGTAATGTTTAATAAGGAGACCCCAGTGTATCACAATCAGAATTCAACTGCAGCTGCGATGTTTAAATTATTAGCATGTTTAACGCACATATACTAAGATGGGGAAAATTCACTTTTTATAAACATTGAAAATTATGAATTTTCCAGATAGGGGAATATACCTAGTTTGCAGGTGTATGTATTTGTAAACAGGGAATAAGAAACAAGACGTTCATGAGGGGAGAAAGGCCAACCACAACAATTTCTAGTCCGAGCCACATTGTTCTCATTTACTCGTCCGAGCCGAGACGAGAATTTCGAGGTATATCGGAAGAGTAAATGAGAAGTATGTGGTTCGGACGAGAATTAATGAATAAAGGATAGAGGAAGGTTTGGAGCAAAGAGTAAATAATTAGCTCTTGGACTTTAAGCAGGTCTTCTCTGGGAGGAAATTCAACTGTAAATCTCCAGTACACATATTCAATTTCACCATAAAGTCTTGTGAATCAGTGTTAGAGATCAAAATTAATAAAGAAAATATTATAATTATATCCACAGCATAAACATAGTATCTTAAAATACATTTTACATCAAAATACGGGTATTTTTCCAAAATGTTAAAAGTAAGTTTCTATATAAAGAGCTGAAAAATGTCAATAAAACATTATTTTGCAAATATGGGAATCGCAGGAAAATTCGCCCCAGGAAAAAGTGCTGACATATCGCCAAATGTTTGTCTTGATGAGCTCTTTCAGAATCTCAAGAAAAGTTATATGCAGGATTTTTCTTATCTCTTAGAGGTCTTTCAAGAACACCGTGGTAACGATATGGTTCTTAGTACTTTGGTTTAGGTTTGGTTGCCCGCTGCCTGCTCAGGCCTAATGATGAACAATAATGCTAAATCTTGGTTGAAGAAAAGAGAAAAAAGAAGAAAGAGAAAAAATGAAAGATGTTGAAGAGAGAGGAAAGAGGGAGTGAAAAACACTTTCATTTTTTTGTTACGAATGAGGTGTTGGTAGTTTTACAAATTCTTAAATTGTTAAATTTTAATAATTTAGATTATATACTTTTCAACTTACATATTTCTGACATATCTATTGATAGGCTGCACCGTGATACAGTATGTTCACTGTTTCTCTAAATATAAATGACTCAATTTGCCACAAACTTTGATTTTAAAATCTCTTTACCATCATGTTTCAAACTTAGCTTATTGGATCTATCAGAATTCATAGTTTGAAATATCTCAGATCTACGACACTGATGGGATATAGGGGATTTGAAAATCAGAATTTGTGGCAAAGACTCAATTAATTTTTATTCATGCATGAAGTATGTTAATAATATTAGATATTAGTAAAACTTATCACAAGGCGTTCATAAAATTTTTATAAAAATAAAAATCAGAAGTTATAAATTCATCTATTGAGATCTGCAGCTACGTGCGACATTTGTCGCAGTGTTAAGTACAGTGTGTCCCAATACACATGAAAATTAATTGAAAACCCCAAAATCGTCTGTACGGATAATCTTTAATTAATTGAGATACAGATCAAAATAACTAATTTGAAAAGCCATTGAAAAATGTATGTCATGTAAATATTTGTCAAAAAAATACATTCTTTGATATTTTTCCGGGGGAATTTTTAGTTTTTTTTAAAATCTTCCTATACACCTTAACCGGTCATTGGAGTTAGATATAGTTGGTGAAAGGTTGAACGTCAGGACTATAGGTTGGGGATACACTGGTCAATTAAAGTTAGAGGTTAGAATTTTTTTAATGAGCATGACCCTTGAAAAGATTGATTAGGGACATATTACACAATTAGCTCTATCTCAACACTAAGGCAAAATACCCCCCCCCCCACCCAATCTTTATTAGATTAAAATTGCCCAATCAAGATAGGGTTAAGAAAGGAAAATGGGAGAAATTCAGAATGGGATCTATAATAAGGGAGGAATCTAGTAAGAAAAGAATTTAGTAAGGGAGGGAGGGATTTGATAAGGGAGGGATCTAATAAGGGAGGGATAAGTTGTCTACTTGTATACCTACACTACATATATCTCCTCCACAATATATATATGAGTATACATGTATACTGCTGCACAGCTTGAATCTTAAACTAAACTGTTTAATGTTTATACTGCATACAGTGCAGGCCTGTATCAGGTTAATATCAAGACTCCCTTTTACGTTCCTCTTCTTGCTTAAAATATCAGAATCTTTTAGAGAAAAACTTTTTAAATAAACATTAAAACGTTTAAATTAAATATGTACGAAAAATTTATTCATAACTTTCATTTCATGGCGTTCATATTTTAAAATGTTATTAAATGATGTTGACGGGTTTCTTTAAGATTTAAAATGAAGCAAAGGAATTTGAAATTAAATTTTTGTTTTTCCTTCGGGAATTTTACCATAGGGGATTAACTTTTTTCTTTCTATCTGCAGCGATGGGCTCAGCACCCGTTGGGGCCTAACAACCCCCTGGAAACCATAGATTTTACTGATTGCAGGGGGGGGGGGCTGAGTTCCTATAGCTAAAATTGAACCCCCCCCCCCCCCCATGATTACGCCTCTGTTTGAGAGAACTGGGGTCGAATTTAAAGAATTTGAGCCGTGGTTTAAATTTAAGACGCGGCTCAAATATGTTTGGTTCCGCTTAAAATTGTATATAATGTTTCAAGATTTAAGCTTAATTAAAACCGTTTTTTTTTGCGGATTTGAGACGCGGCTCAAGCTCATAAAATTCGGACTCTGGAAACGTCAACAAAAATGAATTAATATAAGAGCACATGCTCATGAATAATTGGTAACCTTTCTTAATTTTTTTTTTAAATTGGATTTAAAACACTAGACCTTCAGATGACTTTTCTAGTGTTAATCTTAGCAGCTTATGTACAGGGTGTCCCAATAAACATGGGAATTCAGTGACGAATTCGATATCGTCTTTTTAAACCATTCTTTGATTTAGAATAGTGATACCTACTGAGAAAGCTGTAATCCGTAAGAGTTTCGTTTGCTATGTTCACATTATAGAAACATCTTTACAGTCTTTTACTCTTTCCATAAATAAACTCTTGCAGACATAATAATATTATGGCTTTTGAAATTAGGTATTACAATGCTATAACAAAGACGATATCCAATTCGTCACTGAATTCCCATGTTTTTTGGGACACCCTGTATATTGATGTTAGACCAACATCTTCATTCTACAATCATCCAAGTCAAAGGAATTGAGATTATTTGCCACAAACTCTGATTTCATAATCCTTACATCTTTGCAACCCAATTTCGTAGACTTTAGATATTTCAAATTATGAATTCTGTTAGATCAAATAATCTGAGTTTGAAATATCAAAAATTTACACCTTCAGGTTGCAAAGATTTGGGGATTAGAAAATTTGAGTTTGTGGCAAGGTCTCAGTTCCTTTAAAGAATCTAGGCTTACAGGAGGCTTTTTCCAGTCCATATTTTGGGTCAAATAATTTAATCTTTTCTTTATGTTGCTGATTTATCATTATCTTCAAAGCTTTCGTAGCAATACAAATCTCGCAGATTTTACTAGTTTTATTGGTGAAATATTGTGACAGAAACAATCTCAAGGAATAAAAATTGTTTTTAAAAACTTTTTTTTACAAAGTGAATATTTGCAAAATATCTTTTTTCCTTCTCATAATCTGAGTTCGTTTCTTTTATGTCCATTTGACAACCCAATATTTTTTTTAATAATCTTATTTTTGTTTATTTCTTGTGGTTTTAAACAATTTTTAAATTTTTTTTTATCGATTTTGATGGTTATTATATTGTAGCAGGAAAATGATGTTTTGATCTTTCCTGCGACTGTAAATAGCATTTTGTTTGTCATTATTTTTACCCTTCGTTCGCAATCAACCCTATTTTGCCTCCCCCCCCCTTTTTGATGTTTAACGGGTTTTCTTGTTTATGTTTGGTTTCTATATTTAACCCAAGCCACGCGGAGAAATCCGTTATCTCCGAACCCGGGAGCTGGTGGGCTGGCCGGCCAGCTCACGGGGCGTGGGGTAGAATGCGAACCTAGGGTGGAGCGAAATAGAGGGAAAAAAGGCAGTTGAAGACCAGCTCCCTATTTGTTAGGTTCCCTTGAAGAATTCCCCTATTTGATGAAACTGATTTGATTCATAATATTTAGTTTGTATAAGTATCGTTCGATTTAAAGTTTGTATTTTTTGTATCTTTTGCACATAAATATATTGTAAGAAAAACCGACTCGTTGAATATTTGAGAAACTCAGTGCATTGCTTTATTGATTTTTATTCATATACAATAATATCGTTAGAACTGACGAGGGTCAACCCAGACCGAAATATATTTTCAATAAATGTGGAACTAACATCTACTTTTTTTACTCTACAGAGGTTTGGTCCATCACCATCACAGAATTCTAAATAAACAGAGCTTTTTGGAAAGTCCTAAAAAATGGGAATTTAAAAATAAAAAATTGATAAGAAAAAAGTGGACTGTGCTTTTCCTCTTTTCGGTGCTTTTTCAGTCTGATTTATTATTTGATAAAAAAGCCTACTTGTGTAAAAAAACAGTTTTTGGATATCGTTGACTCCGTGAGATTGAACTAAGTCGGAACAAGACTTTGCGGTAAAACCTCGCCAGCTGAGTTGACCCCCCTCAAGGGTACAGAATTTAAAGAATTTGAACTGCCTACCACTGGTTCAAATTGAAATTGTCGATACGAATCCTTCTTTAATCTTTAATTTTGAATCGGTGGTTTAATTTTGTCCCGGCATTCCGATCCCAGGGGTGGCAAAGACTGGGTTAACAGCAATTTTGAACAAAAAAACTTCGTATACAAAGTACCTTTATGCATTTTATTCATTTTTGGAAAAGAAAAGAAAAAGATATTTTTTTCAAAAATTCCATCAAAAATAATGTTTTTCTTGATTTACAAATTACCGGTTTCTGCCGTTCGTTAACGGACTCTTACAGTAGTTTTTAATAACTTCCAATTTGTTCACGGAACTTTGTCCAGCCCTTGGCCCTAATAAGAACATGGAAAAAATTTCACAGAAAATTGTGTTTTTTTCGAACGCTAACTCCAGGTTTATTTCAAATTAATAATTTCAAAAATAGTGATTTTTCTACTAAACCAGAATCAAAATGACCAAAGATTTGGAACTAACTTGTGAATTAACGGGAAATATAAAAGAAATTTGTAAAATACTGATTTGTATTTTTTGTGATTTAAAAAGCAAAACAATTTTCACTTAAAAGTTGTAACAATACCTCTCTGAACTTCAAAATAAATACTTTGCAATCAATCTGTTTACTTTACATTTTACTTATTTTGAATTTTTATAAATCTTGAAAATAAAAGTCTGGGAGAAACGAACTGAGATTATGCTACAAACTTAAATTTTCTAATCCCTATATCTGTAATCCTGATGTCGTAGGCCTTAGATTTTTAAATTTGGTCAGATCGAATAGTTTTTCCATACGATTAGAAAATTTAAGTTTGTGGCAAAAACTCAATTTCTTGTAAGTTATAAGTATTGTTTGGTTAATATTCACTGAAAATTGTGTTTTTCTTGAACGATAATTCAAGTTTTATCTCAAATAATTAAATTCAAACCATAACAGTTATTTTTCTTGTAAAACTAGATACTTTACTACTTGTTATTTTTTTCTATGAAAAGTTTAAAATATCTGAAAATATTTAAGTTCTACAACATTGGGTTGCAAAAATATAGGGGTAAGAAAATCAGAGTTTGTGGCAAAACTCAATTCCTTTGTATGTTTTTGGATTTCTCTTCATCTGATAATTGTGTTTTTTTAATGACAAATGAAATGAGATTTTAGCCTTTGTCACAAACTCTGATTTTCTTATTCCTATCTCTTTGTAGACCTAAGAAAATTCAAATTATAAAATCTGTTAGATGAAAAAGTTAAAGTTTGAAATATATAAGGTTAAAATTATCAATTTGCAAAGATATAGGGATTAGATGGTTTTACGTAAGGCATTAACATACCAAGATTTTGTGGTCATCAACATTTAACAAGATTGTCTCGAAGATGTGGTTATAAGTCGTGTAATGTACTTAGAATCTAATAATTAGTAGGTGACTATTCATATAAATATTTGCTTAACCGGGAACATCCTTTTTTTGCACAATCTAAAATCTTTTACTAGACGAGAAGAATTCCAAAAAAATGAAGTATACACTTCAATTTTTGGGCTTGCCTTTTACCTTCATCTTTCACTGGAAAAAAGTTATGAATAAATCATCATTAAACTTAATTATTCATGCTATTTGTACTTTTATGATAGTTATATTATGAAATGTTGAATCATACTTGAAAAAGTATCAAAAAATATCTTTTTCTGCTTAAAGAGAAATGGATTGAATGATGTATCTTTGTTATTCATGATTGGGCACTAACTGAATTGAAACAATCTAAATATCTATATATAAATTTGTCTTGTCTGTTTGTTTGTTTGGGTGGGCGTCTGTTTGTTTGTATTCAATAAACGTCAAAACGGCTGAACCGATCGGGCCCAAATTTTGTGTGGGACATCACGTAACCCAAAGGAAGGTTTTGAATGATCAAAATTTTAAAAATAAATTTGTGTTTAAAAGTTTTTTATTTTTGTAAAATTTTTAAAAAAAACTAGGCTTTTAGGGCGCTTCGCGCCCATCTTCTATTTAAATTGTGAACATGGTCATTTTTGTTTACATTTTTAAAAAAAGAAGAAAAAAATTTTGCGGATTTAAAAAAAATCGCGGATTTTCAAGAATTTTTTAATTTTTTTACAAAATTGAAAACATTTAAAACACATTTTTTTAAAAATTTTTATCATTCATAAACCTTCCCTGTGGTCACGTGATGTCCCAAGACAAATTTGGGCCCGATCGGTTCAGCCGTTTTGACGTTTATTGAATACAAACAAACAAACAGACACCCAAACATAAAGACAAGCCAAATTTATATATAGATGCGCGAAAAAATATTATGAAATCCAAAAAAAAAATTTTCTTTTTTTATACTGTACAAGAGAAGATGCTCACAGATAAAGCCACAATTTAAAGTTGCAATAGAAGATTGGCGCTAAGCGCCCTAAAAGACTAGTTATTAATATTTATTTCTCTATTTTTATTTTTTAACAATTAAATTTTCATATTATCTATATTGTCAAATATCACTGATATTAAAAATATCATAAAAATCTAAAATTAAGTCAATAACTTGAGTTATCCAGTGTTTAAATATTTACCTTCTTTTAAAAACAAGTTTAACCAAATCAAAAATGTAAAAATATTGTTATATTTTGTCTAAGTTTTCACTCATAAATTTAAAAATAGATAACCAGCAAAAACGTGAATGAAAACCCGGTTTTCTTTAATCTTAAAATGTAAATTTAGATCTTTGAGATTTGTGAAAGTTCTCAAAATTTCTTATTTTTAATTTAGTGATGAAAATATTTTCTTGTATTGGATACGGCTGATGTAGATAGAAAATAATATTCACTTCACAGAACAGTTATTAGGATTTAGGATTAGAGATAGAAGAAGAGAAATATTAATATACATAATTACACTTCTAATGCTGGATGGAAAATATAAGCAGAGATTTCCTCTCAATATTAAATTTTTTTCGTGCAATTCTTGTGCAGTGTATGTGCGGAAATTTTACGCAGAATAATACCGTTTGCGCTTGCATTCGCATAGGAATTGAGTCTTTGCCACAAACTCTGATTTTCTAATCCCTATATCTTTTGAACCCAATGTCGTATACGTTTGATATTTCAAACTATGAATTCTGTTAAATAAAACAATATAAGTTTGAAATATTAAAGGTTTATACCATCAAGTTGCTTAGATATAGGTTTTAGATAACTTGAGTTTGTGGCAAAAACTCAACTCCTTTGCGCAAAAATGGAGAATTTAATTCTGCTGAAATATTGATTCTTTGATGAGGTGGTTAACATGATGGATTATCAAACCATAGTTAAATAATTTAACCCGGATTTTGCTCCTTGAACATTTCAACAACAGTCTGCTGGATGCCAACCTGGTCAAAAATATATCTTGTATTGGAACAGTGAACTTTAAAAAAAGATGTTTAGAGCTGGAACTTCTAAAAGTACCCCAAAAAAATTTGTAACGCAACTTTTTTATCATACCTCGTATCCATATATTCTTTCTGGTCTTTCTGATCTTTCTGCTCTAACTTCTGCATTTCTTCGGTCGTCAGTTTTCTGTGACCTTCAATACACATAATTATAAGTATCAACAAAGGTAGATTGAGCAGTGAGCGTCATAGCATTGTTTTTTTTTGGGGGGGGGGAGGATGTTCTTTGTCATCTGTGTAACTTTCATCAAGTTGAAAAATAAAAATAGTAAGAAATGATGGGCGATGAGCCGATGAAAAATATTGTCATTCTTATTCTAACTGTCCAAACTTTATAAAAATGTTCTACAATCCCAATCAGGACAGAGTCTAGTGAGAGGGAGGGGGGGGCGAAATAAAGTTCCCCGCCTCCCCTCCTCCCTCACAGTTGCGCTACTATAAGTGTGCATTGCGTATAACAAAAAATGTGAAGTTTATATATTTGAGAGAGTTTCGAGTGAATTTTGAGAAAGTAAAGTTTAATTGAGTTAGGTAAGTGAAATAAGTGATTTAAACAATTGGACTTAATTGAGTTGGTGAGATTATGAGAATAAGTTAAGTTGGCGAGGGTTGAATGGGTAAAGTGAGTTAGTGATTTAAGAGTTGATTTCTTAACGGGGCAGGGATCAGTAGATTTCGATTGTAGAATAGATCACCTAGGTAACCAGGTATAAAGCCATATCGATACACTCCAACCTTTCCTGAATATTCCAACCAATGTGAGGGGAGAATTCTCAGAGCTCGGCCTCCTATTGGCCGCAGCTCCTCCGATAAGAAATTCTCTTCCTTTTCCATTATTTTAGCATTGTAAGTATTGACGTGAGAGTGAAAACTGTCTCTTTGTGAGTGAAGGGTCTGAGTAAAAGTGTTCTTAGAAACGAAATTGTTCCTAAGTATACTAATTGTTTTCGTATTTCTAGAAATTTTGACAAATAATAAAAATCATTCTCAACAGACTCTTCTATAGAAGAAGATTTTTTGTTTTGTCTACTATTCAAGTACACAATTAAATGCTTGCTTAAAGGTTAGTAAGTGGTGCCTTGAGGTAGAAATACCGTTTTCAGGTTTTGAATAGCCTCTTTTCTTTAATACAATTCAATTTTATTTGTCGCGATACCAAAATTCAAAGTTAGCAAACTTAAAAATACTACGTTGGCGAAACTTTTTTAAAAAATGTCTGCATTTAAAATCTCATAATGAAAAATATTGTGATTCGTATTAAGCAGCATTCAAATTAAATCAAAAATAAAATTGTTATTTTGGTTTTAAAAACATCTTAAACTAAATCAAATTAAAGAAACTGTAAGTGTAGTTTAAGTATAGTTTATGATAGCAATTCTCGATTCAAAAAGGCATCTTTGAAATCTGATCAAAAAGTGGAAGATATTGTCCTTTTTCTATACTTAAAAGTGTTTGATTATAATAATTCCTATATACTTTCATGCAGTAAAATGCGCAATAACCAGTTTTCTCAATGTTAAACCTTGAGATCTAATTCATACTTGATCAGACAAAGTTTTTAAGGATAACGTTGTGAATCGGACATTGCCATCTTTGCATGGAGGGTCACTTGAAATTACGCTTACAGTCCCTTTAAACAAAAAAAAACTGAACGTTTGGATAAGACCTCTTACACGCCGAGTGTCTTAGACTCAATCTAAAAGTCGATAAAGTTGAAGTACTATGAAATGTTAAGTAAATGTAATGTCGAAAATTATGAATTGCCTGCATGCAGGGGACCTGGGTGTGTCCCATATGATTTGACGTTTAGGTTTTATACTTTTTTAGTAGCTGTTAAATGGATAGATAATTTAGATTTGACAGTGAATATTTTCTTTACAATTTATATTTTTTTTAATTTATAAATATAAAAATCTTGTAAAATATTTAGAAAATACGAACAATGCCTGAAAGGATCATTAAAATATTCGGAGAAAATATATTTTAACACGACAAGAAGACTTTAACAAAAGCCTTTAGAAAATTGATGATAAGAATTAAATTAATTTTAATTAATTTTTCACCGTATGAATTTTTCAATGCAATGATCAGTAAAAAACATTTAATTACGTTAAAAGTTTTCTAGTCACAGTCTTTTCCTGTATTTGAAAACCATTTTTGATTTTTAACCTCCGCATTATGTTATGTGCATTTTCTTAGTTTGAAAAAATAATTTCGTTTATATTAAATATTGATTTTTACTAAAGTTTTAAAAATATTTTTTTTGACAAAGTTATTAAGGAAAGTGAGATTACGGACAGTAAACTGAAAATTCTTTCTCAACTAAAACTCAAAAATTCTAACTTTCAGAATATTATCTCTTATATGTCACTGAAAGTTTTTATGGTCAATGACGGTGCCTAATATCTCATTGTTTGACCCTAACTATTTTATAAAAAAGTACGCAAGTTCTAGATGATTAGGGCAAAAAGAAGAAAATAAAAAGAATATGCACAAATCATTTTTTTAGTTTAAATGTATACAAAGGAACTTTTAAAACAATATTCACGTTTAATAGAATGTACAGTAGGAAACTTTAAAAATGTTATGAGTTCTAAACCCACATTTTTATTTTACACATGATTTTCAGTTAGTTTTTATACATCTTTTATTTCATATGAATTTACTCAAAAAATCGCATATTAAGGGTTTCAAAAGTGTCGAGCAGGATTAAGTAATGATAAGAAACATAAGATATAATTTTCTAATTTGAATTTTTAATATCTTTGAATCCAAATCATGATAATTGGTATGCCATTACAGGGACAGATATTTTTATCTGGACTTTTTAGGGGTGTTGGGCCTCCTCCCCCTTTTTATGATATCTTTTACATTATTTTAAGAATAGCTAGATATTTAAACTTTCCCAAGTTCCCAGGCCTGTCCATAAATGTTTCCAAACTGTACAACATTACTTCATTGTTCTAGTATACCATTTTAAAACCCCTTCAGTCCTGTTTGAGTAGTCTGAGTCTGAGACTGTATTCTGTGTATACAAGAAACCACGGTCCACGGAGAAAAGAAAGCAACCTTCAATTTTTAATAAACAATCGACATTAACGGCATCATTATATACTTTCTAATTAAAAACCAATATGATAAATAATTTGCGAGTTGTTCCTTTTATTCTTTTACAAATGCAGCATTTGTTTATTTATTCCCACGGTTAGTCATAAAAGTCATAACTTCTGCAGGGAAACAGGAAGTATAGCTTTTAAGAAATAAACCATTGATAAGATTGAAATAAATGGTGTTACGCTTCCCCTTTAATTACCATTAAAATTGTTCTTAAATTGTTTGTAAAATTGGGGTTTCTCCTTTCTATTTTTTACTTCCTTTTTCCTTTTTTTCCTTTATTCCTTTTTAATCTTTTCTCCTTCCTTGTGTCATATTTTGCCGTATCACCCCCTCCTCCTCACACTCCCTTAGCTTAGACCTGGTAACCTTGTATATTATATCCATATATATCTATCTATCAATCTGCCCTTCAGTCTACCTCCGAACTAGCTTAACTACCTGTGGTGTAAACAGTGTAGGATGTGTGTATACTGCATAGAGTTAAATCATATGGTTTTCCATCAAGAATGTTTGTAGCGCACCATTAGTTATCATTAGATCAGAAACTGGACTGTATTTGCTATATACATTGTAAATCCTTTATACTAGGTATAAGAACAAGTTAGTGAATCATCATCTTATATTACCGACATATATCACAAGAATTTAATATTAACCAGAACTGTTTATAAGTGAAACTGTGAATATTAGATGTTGTTCTGAAGTAGTAACTATACTACAAAAATGAAAGAAATGTAAGTAAAATTTAATTTTGATAAATTTCAAATTCTCGTCCATGATACACTCCCAGGGAGTAAGGAATAGAAGGGAGATATAACTGACGCGGTTCGCCCTACCATATGATTATACATGCTTTGCAGACGGTACTTCATTTGAATAAGAAATATTTGTCTGATGTACAATTACCAAGTATACAATAACCTTTTCTGATTATTTCTTATTCAAATGAAGTACCGTCTGCAAAGCATGTATAATCATATGGTAGGGCGAACCGCGTCAGTTGTATCTCCCTTCTATTCCTTACTCCCTGTACACTGCGTGTCCCAATAAAAATGAGAATGAGTTAGGACGACTAGAACATCTATCTTTTTTTCTCCGATAGATGATGAATGACTAAAAGTGTATCAAATACAAATCATATATCCTAGGAGCTTTTCAAAATTTGGTCTGCCTTCCTTGTATCGTTAGAACATGTTATTTAGTAAATTTGAATCAAAAGACATTTATCAATTTCTCCGTCAATGTTGAAGCTGTAAAAGAATAGTAAACCATGCGTTGTATGGTAGTCTTGCGGTGTTAATGGGTTTTTTAAAAGTTTTTAAACACTACTGATGAGAATTTTATCTAGTTGATGTTGTGTTTAAATTCTTAATTGTTATATTTACCAAACTTTAAGACGCCAGCTGTTTAAAAAAAGGAAAGAAATGTAAGATGTAAACTCAAGCTGAAATCCTTCCTTCAACTAAAAATATTATGATTGGAAAAGGAGTCATGGTGTAAAATGGTGTGTAAATGTAAAGCATTTCTTTTAAATTCCAAAGATTCACTTAGATTTTATTTACTGTTTTTGATAAATTTTGAAAATATTAATCTTTAAATATTTTTAAAAATCCAATCAGGAAGTAAAATCTAACTGATATTACTTTGAATTAGTTTTACTTTTTTAATACATTACTGTGAATAAACTAATGAATATGCATCAAATCTGAGTATAATAAAAGTTACGTGTATGATCAAAATTTAAGGTTTTAATTTTGATGGACTCAAGAGTCATAACATTTTAAAGTTTCCAACTGTACAGAGTACATTTTGACAAATGTGTTATTTGGCAGCCCATATAGTTTTTTGTTTATTTACGTATTGCCTGTATTACCTAGAATTTTTGTGTTTTTTTAGTAAAATAATTAGGGTCAGTAATTAATTAATTTTTTGGAAATTTGACAGTGAAATTTTCCAACTTTATTTAGGAGATAATATTTTCCCAAAATGGACATGAACTTTTTCTAAAATCTTCTCCTAAACTTAAGTTTAATTTCGTAGAAAGAATTTTCATTTTCATCTCAGTAAAAAATCATGTCCCAGATTTAGTCTTCCCGTAATCAGCCTTTTTCATTGAAAATATTTTTGAAATAAAAATCAATTGTTAAATTATCGAAAAATTTGTTCTCAAAAGTTTACCCAGAAAATCTTGAGCAAAATGTCTGTCCTTTATAAGAGATTATGACCCCTATAAACATTAAATATGCAAGGTACTGAAACATTAAATTTATAAAATCATACATAACAAGGTAAAACAGTAAATATAGATTTGTGAAGTCATGTTTCAAGCTTTAACGTCAGAAAAAATCGTTGATTCCCCGTAGTCTGTGCAATACATCATATATAATTCTACTGGGTATACCTACAAAGGATGAAATTGTAAAGACGACTAAAAACTCTGAAGGTTTGACGATCCAAAGGTTAAATTAAGTCTTCATACCTTGAATAATAATATAGACTTTATGGGCTTATTTAATGTTTTTGCAAAGAAAAAGACCAGGTTTGCAGTTGCAAAGATTTCTATTGTAAACAATTAATAGCTAAGATTTAGATTAAAAAATACACAAGGTATTAGGTTATTTTAAGCTACAAACTTGAACATTTATCCAGCTAAGGGGAAAGCATCAGTTAGTTTAAGTAATAAGCGTCATTAAATGGTATGATATTTCAAACTAAAAAAATTTGTTAGATAAATAATTAAAGTTTGAAATATCAAAGGTTTTCACAATCAGGCTGCGGAGAAATACGGATTAGAACCCTTGAGTTTATGACAAAGACTTAATTCCTTTACTGAGCGATCTCTTTGAAGATTACAAATGTGGATAAATTACTTATTGTATTTTCTTCCAATAAATGAACGTCAAAAAATAGATAATGAAAGATTAGAACCAAATAATTGGATCATGAGATAAATACTTGTTCGTTAAAAGAAGAGTACAGAGAGCATTTAAAGGATAAATGTTGCATTTAATTATTTAAAAAATATATTAGACTTTCGTGTATACTCTGCGTACATATTGAAACCAGTTCTCTTTGGGCGGAATTTGTAAACAAGAATAGATGCATCAGTTTTCGTTTAGTATCCAAGGAGTTTAAAAGCATTAAATTTGATAATTTTGATAATTCACATAATAGTTTCCTATGACCAAAATATTTCATTGATTTTTTTATGTGAAAGATGGATCCCATGTCAGGCTTTGACAGCCGTCTTGTGTTTACATTACCGCCCAGACACAGTACACTGCAGTACAAAAGATGCGTACACTTCTGAAATAACTTTCCTTGCATTACATCCTAGTTTTAAACTATGAATTCTGTTAGATCAAATAATGTAAGTTTGAAATATCAAAGATTTACTCCATCTTGTTGCAAATATGTTGGGATTAGAACATTTTAGTTTCTGACAAAAAATCAATTCCTTTGTATTATTAGTGCCTGCGAAACCATACAGTCTGAACTAAACAGAAAGAGAAGGCCAAATTTATGCAAAAATACTGTCACGACTTTGAGACCTCGTAGCTCCTCTAGTTTTGATTTCATGCAGAAGTATGAGCAAAAAGTGAATTATGAGATACTAAAACATTTTTGATATTTTCAATAGCTCATATTATAAAAGGATTTTTGATTGAAAACACAAAATATCTATGATTGAATTTACTGTAGTTTGACGTGTTGCTTGTGTCGTAAAGGAGGGAGATTAATCTACCAGTAAAAAAGTTGAGATTAAGTTCGTGAACCCGTATTTATAGATTAAATCTTTCTGCTGGAAAGGAATTTTCTAATCCCTATATTTGTGCAACATCATGGGTTACAACTTATTCCAAACTTAGAATATTTGATCTAACAGAATTCATAGTTAGAAATATCTAAGGTCTACAACGATTTAGGGATTAGAAAATTTGAGTGTGTGGCCAAGACTCCATTTTTTATTACATCTTTTCCTTTCTGATCGATTGCACCTCAACATAATTTGACATTTAATGCAAACATTTATAACCTACTTTCATTGTACACTGTACTGTTAGGGAGGGAAGGCCAAGAAGCCATGAACCCCGTGGAAAATCTCCGAACCCTGTGGAATGGTCTCCGAACCCCGTGGAGAGTCTCCGAACCCCGTGGAGGAGGTTTTTTGAAAAAATGTTATCAAATATAAATATTCCTTGTAAATTAGCAATAATTTTCCAATCTTCTTGACATATGGACTCAATAAATATAATAATCAAGTTAAAGAAATAATTTTCATTATTGTTTTTATTGTCTTTTTCTCCAAGTTTTGTTTTCCCGTAAAAAAGGTGGATCTCAAGTATGACACTATTCATAGAATTATGTTTGTTACCTTTTATTTCCTGTTTTGAATTAAAAGGTCATTGCTTAAAATAGAAAATTAAGTTTAATAGTAGTATACATGGGGGGGGGCTACGGGGGCTCTATCCCCCTCCTGGATCTGAAAAATCTTTGGTTTATTTATGATTTGATGGCTCTTTCTTGCAGAAGAAGCCATCGCAAGAAAAATAAATTAAAGTCCTGCCCCCCCCCCCTGTGAACAACTCCTTGTAAGCCCCTCTCATGTCATTTAAGTTGGGAAATGGATATTTCCGCTGCTTCCCACTAATAAAGTTGTGATT